AGTGTGTTTAGTTGCAAGTCTTCAAGTGTTTGAAGACTTTCCTTTATGTCGCTGATTGCTAGTTTGAGTACATTCTGGTTGGAGCACATACTGTATAACACTTGAAAAAAATGTATTTCTGCAAAGTTGGTCAATGTTGTTGCTGAGTTCTTACAAATCCTTGTTGACCTTTGCTTTGTTGTTCTATCAATTAGAAGTCGATGTCTCCAACGACAGCAGTGATTTGTTTCTCTTTCTAGTTCAGAAAATTTCTGGTTCCTATCTTTTTGCAGTTCTGATGTTTGGTGCATATACCCTTAGGATGGTTATATGTTTTTGGTGTAATGTCCCTCTCTGTGTCTGGTCATTTACTCTGAGGTCTCCTTTATCTGATTGTAGTATAGTCATTGCTGTTTTCCTTTGGTATTTGCATGATATTTCAGGAGTTTGAGTGAAGTGTGTAGTTTTACCTCCCCTTGTATCCGTTTCCCACTCCCTTTTTAAAATAGAATTGTCTGAATGATTTCCTCTAAGTACATTTAGAACCACATCAAACCGTATCGTGACGTTGCCTCAACTGCAACCATGACACAGAAAGTTCAAGAAAAACCTACTCTTGAGACCCAGATTTTTGCTGATCATGTTCTTTTCGTCTTGATGCTCTAAGATTCCTTTATTTTATTTTATTTTATTTTATTTTTATCATTTTCTTTATGTCTAAAGAACTTCCTGTAGCCATCCTTTTGGGGTAGGTCTTCTGGTAACAAATTCTCTTAGTTTTCCTTATTTCCAGAGTATCTTGATGGCTCTGTTAGATAAGCACTGAACTGATAACCACAAGGTTGGCAGTTCAAACTCACCAGCTGTTCCAGGGGAGAGAGATAAGGCTTTCTGTACCCATAAAAACTCAGAGACCCTATACAGGGTCGCTGTGAGTCGGAAGATGGCTGCAGGAAGTTCTCAGACATAAAGAAAATAGTCAAAGAATGAATGTGAGAGACCACGAGAGAAGAACCTGATTTGTTGTTATCATTGCAGTTTATGGTGGGGAATATTGAGAAGGATCATAGACCGTAATAACAGTAAACAAATCTGTCTTGCAAGAAGTACAGTTGTAATATTCCTTAGATGCAAGGGCAGCCAGACGTCATCTCACAAACTCTGGGTATGTTATCAGGAGGGTCTAGCCCCTGGAGAAGGACTTCATTCTTGGTAGAGGGTGAGCACAAATGCAGAAGCCCTTTAATCATGTGATTCACACAGTTGCTGTAACAATAGGCTCAAACATTGCAACAATTTGTGAAGATGGCACAGGACCAGACAGTGTGTTGTTTTGTTATCTAATGGGTGGCTGTGAGTCTGAACTGACTCCTTGGCATCGAACATCATGTGTGTTAGGAACTAAAAGAGGCAGCCAGCTGGCACTAATGCGGCTGAATAAAACACACATTCAGAGTTTCTCCACTCGTTTAACAGGTCTGATGATCTTTTCTCAAACGTACGTTCCCTTCCAATATCGCTTCCCTAATACTTTTGACGTGTTACTAGGAGAGACCCGTCCCTGGAGAAAGACATCATGCTTGGCAAAATGGAGGGTCAGCGACAAGAGGAAGACTGAATGAGATGGACTGATACAGTGGCGATAGCAGTGAACACAAAGGTAGCAGTAATCGTGAGGAGGGCGCAGGATAGGGCAGCGTGTTGTTGTTTTGTGCATAGGGTCACTGTGAGCCCAAACTGACGCGACCTCAACTAACAAGAATTGCTCAGACACTGTTCAGTGCAAGGTGCGACCTCAGTTGTACACTACCTAGACTTAGGGTTCTCAGGACTTGGTTGTTGATGGGCTATTCCTTGCAGTCATGAAGATGGTGCAGAACTGAGCAAGGTTGAGTTTGCATATACATAAGATTATCAGGAGTCAGAGCCAACTCAATGGCAGCTAATGACAACAAACACAACGAGACTGAGATGTATTATTTTCCAGGTAACGTTACTGTAGGGTAAGCACTGGACCGCAAGCTTGGTTTGAACTGCGAGACTAGTGGTTCAAACTCACCTGCCGCTCCTCGGGATTCCTATGCAGGGTCGTGAGTTGCCAAAGTTACTTCAACACAAGTTTTTCTCTAGAAACTATCTTATGTTACTTTGTATAGAAAAAAAATCTGTATCGAAGTTAAATGGCTTTTAATTGACATTTGTTTACCTTCAGGGTCAGTGCTAAGCATCTTCTACCTGGAGCTGATTCCTCTGTCTCCTACTCTTGTCCTAAATGAGGGTTGGCTGCTTTCCACACGTAATCTTATCTGATACAGCATCTGTACAATTGATCATTTGAGAGATCAAATGACCTCTTCCTTGATTTCATATTTATCTTTCTACCTGATGACATATCTAATGGTTTATCCACGAAAGAGGACTAGGAAATTCAGCTGAGTGACCCGGGAGACAGGCTCTTACATCCACCCCTGGGGATGTTACGATCATGGTTTATTACACTGGGCTTGGGTGTTAAGACTCAGTCATGGCTAATTGAAACCAGAACAGATGTGAATTTTTAAAAATATGGGTGAATCAGAATGATAAACCAACCTGGAAAACTCAGAGGTCCAAGTCATGGTATGGGAATCTCTGAAGAAGCATAGTGAGCCCTTTCAGAACCCTGATGCTGAGATTGGCTATGGAGAACGGCCGTGTTCAAACTGCCGATTTTGAGCAGCGGTCTTTGAGCAGCGCGTCTTTGAGCAGCGGTCACCACCTTTGAGCAGTGCATCACGGTTTGCTGAAAATCTGCGGGCAAGAGATTTAGTTGCTATGCACCATGCACACTGCCCTGCTAGCAGGGATTTCGGCTGTAATTTTCCCCTTCCAGTTACACCTACTTGCCCACGACTGAAATGGTTCTAAGGCATGCAGTAAACCCCGTGTCAAGAACTTTCTTAAGCTCTAAATTCAGATGGACGGACGGCTGGCCAAATGGGCCATCACCTCTGGTAAATCACCCTGATTCATCACCAACACTCTTATCCACCTACACAGTATAGTCTGGTGGGGGTAGAGTGTTTCAGAGATGCCCAAAGATCCACTGCTACTAGCTGCTCAAGATGTTCACAGTTCACCTTTTCCTATATGTGTGTGTGTGTGTATATATATCGGGATATTTGCATAAAAATACGGGAAAATACGGGAGCTGGTTTTCCTGCTAGAAAGGTTTCAAAGGATTCCTTTTTGCATAATCATTTCAGAAGGGAGAGGTGATACTGAGAACGGGCTTGACAGCCCTTAACAACATTCTTTTACACATATATATAATTTTTTATTTTTTTGGACAACTCCCCACCCTGCTGCTATTCTCATAAGTGTGTAATGCAAACGTTGTATGGGGGGGGGGCACGTTACTTACACAAAGAATACTGTATTTCGTTTCTTGTAGAAAGACTCTTCAAGCTTCCATCACTGGGACTATTTGGGACTGAATGGCAAAGACTTGATTCACCTGCTGGGGACACTGGGCATGAGAGGTAGGCCCTGACACAGGTACAGTGTGTGTGTGAGGATGTGGGGCTGACCAGGCAGCGCTGGCAGTAATCATGGCCACCTCATCCTCAAATAGTGATCTCAGAAGCTGGGAGCCTAGCTGTAGTCACAGAGGTGATACGATGCCCAGGTGTGCCTAGGTATACCGGACTAATGGGTACAACAACACATGTATCCAAGTCCTCCAAAAGATCCGACCCTAACCCTGCCTTTAGAAACATGGATCATAAACACACACAAAAGCAGAAAAACGGGTGTAAACAATTCCTTAGGGACATACCTCACCTTCAACAATTACCAACATTCTGACCATCTTGTTCCGTCTGCCCATCTCTGTCCCCCGGCCCCTGCTTTTTGTCCCAGGTTGTAGGTAATAGCAACCTCAAATAAATACCCAGCATCCACTGCCAATACAACCAGCAATGTTATTTTTAATACACGTGGTACAGATTGTTTAATTACAGCAGGGCAGTGATTCCAGTTAAATAAAATTAAAATCCTTTATTTCCCCAAATATAAAATTACTCAGTTAATGTCTTCAATGAAAATAAAACATGTGGACGCTGTGTGTCGAGCTCAGCATTCACCACGGGACTGAGGATCCACCAGTTACATACTCCATCACTTTGGCAAACGGATGACATTTTCAAAACAGTTTGTAAACCTAACATAGCAAGACTGTATACATCTCCATATTGCACTTTTTCATGTACAAGAATGAAACAGTAAAGGCAAATGGATCTTGCATATACCAAGAACACAGATTCGTCACAAACTTAATGCAGAAGCTGAAGCGGGTAGTAAAAACGTATAGAAATGGGACACATCTGTACAGGATGCCGAGACTATATGATAACAAATGATATGTACATCACTTTGCCTTACCTCTTCCTGTTGAGCATAATTCTTTTTTTTATTAATACAGGCCTTCCTTTGGTTCTAAACCACTTGGCTAGTGTTAAGCTCACATAATTTCTTAAGCTTCTGTATTTCGTAAATGAAGGTGAGTGAGTGGGTATAAAAGCACTGAATCTACAGTCTCACCAAACAAAAATTACATAGCAGTCAATTCCCTTAGTCATCCAAAACGAGTCACAAAAATAGTTCTTGTATTCAACCTGAATGGGCCTCAGGGACGGAAAAATATTTTCAAGATTTTCCAACTGAGCCTGGAGGCAAAAAGGCCGCCCCAACCTCAATATCAGTGCTAGTCTTTGCTATTTACATCCCCCGAGGCGTTTCTGTAGGCTGTTTCGTCTACTGCTACTCTGTATGGAAGAATAAAACTTTATTTATAGCGTGTCCACCACATACCTCTGCTAGGACACTATGAAAACTTTAAATATTGCCAGTGAGATTTAAAAAACAATAGGTGCACCCTCTTATTAAGTCTATAGGAAATCTATGAAATAACACAGTTCCTTATTTCATTCTCTCCCCTTGTGCTCAGCCTTCCCCGGGTCTGGTACGAGCCCAGCGGTTAGCTTTGGAAATCAGCCTGAGTTTGCAAACGATCAAGTGAGTCCAGGAGGCGTGATCACACCACCGAAGATGAGCTGGTCATCCCATGAACCATTGTGCTCGTTGGAGTCCCACTGATGGCATTGAAGATGTGAAGGGAGTTCGGTAGGACGTTTGACTTCTCCTCCAGAGGGTAGATCTTGAGACACAGAGATAAATGTCACCCAAGCGTAAGGTCAAGACTTCTCAGAGCAACTTAGTACCCTAAAATTGTAGCTCATCCAGTAAACAGCCTTTGCTGTATTATAAGTAAATGGAGACCCTTATCTAACACGTAGACGAGGGGGCTTCAGAAAGTTTGTGGTGAATTTCCATGATTTCTTAACCCCATTTTACCATGGACATTTTGAAGCCCTCTCATACTTTCTTTGGACAGGACTTAGCCTCATACCTTGACTATGTCTTTTTTTTTAAATGTTTTATTGTGAATTATGTGATAGTTTACATGGGAGAACATTAGTTTTACATTCATTTTATTATTTATTGTTTCATTGCCATAGTTACAATCCCCTCCATGCATCACCAACCAACCAGAGGGTATACACTACAAGCCTGCCCCCCAGTTGTCAGCACACAGCCCCTCTCCCTCTCTGGGTCTAAAGTCCCCAACTGCTCCATCTCTCCACATCATCGTCTCTGCCTCCATCTCTGGTGTTACTATTTCTCTGGGTAGGGTCCCGCACTCTGCTCTTCTCCCTTGATGGTCCCAGGGACCTCTGCTCCTAGACTGCAAAGTTAATCACTCCCCTCCTTGCTACAAAACGTCTACCTTTACATTTCCAACCCTCACAAGCAGTCCTGATAACATTTATTCACTATTGTATCACAGAGACCTATCTGCATTTCATTTCATCAGCCCCGGTTAGTCAGATTGAATACTACACACTGGAGATTCTACCTTCCTCCACGCCCTTTGGATCTAGGTTCCCTTTTGAAAGCTTGTAAGCCAGTCACTTCTTGCCTTTGTAGCTCCCGCTCCTCCTCCCCCATTTTGGGTAGCCAATGTCCAAGTTGCCCATCCCTGTCTACTCTGTGTGTGGAGGGGGTGTGACTATGTCTTCTTAAATGAATCTGAAGTATTTGTTTCTCTGCCAGCTCCTTTTCTTAAGATTTTATAGATTTTCATTCTGGAACGAGTAGTTACCACCCAGTGGTTTCTGTAAGACTTGATCTCTAGCCAGACAGACACTCACTAGAACATACATAGTCTAAGTTAGTCTATCCAAAGTCCCAACCCTTCTGCTTAATGATTTTGCTGAATGATTAAAGGAGCTGAATCCTCAGGATTGTTGGGCGAATGGGGAGTTGATTAGAGCACAGCACACTGTATACAGTGCCTATCCATCCACTCTGAAAACTTCCCCTTGTTAGCCCAGTTTTTCTAGTGGCAAATGTTGGCATTCTTGGTAAAAGATCTCTGTTCTAGAAGACTTTGGAAGTTCCTTGGAAAAGACTGTTTCTCTAATGATCCTCCCTTTTCTATATAATCATTCACATGGTCATTTCTTTAGATTTTTCGATTTTCCTAGCTTCCTAAATGTCCAGAAGTGGGGAGGGCTGTTTCCCATAGCACATGCATTGTCACTCAGCGATGACTTGGCATGACTCAAAAACATACAATACTGACATTACCATTCCATCTGAACACGTTAGCATGGAGGGAAAGAAAAAAAGCAAGCGAGTTAAGGCCCAGACACTTATATTCTAAAATCAAAACGGACCCAAATAGTTGGAAAACCAACAATCTTAAGAAACAGAGAAGGGGGCTTCAAAAAAAAAGTTCATGGAAAAATAGAGATAATGGAATTCTTTCTAATTATAAAGACTGGCACAAATAACTACTTTTATACAATGAGAACAGAGGTTTGGGAGAAGGCAGGTTGTTATAACTTATTGGGAATAAACCAAAGTCAAGGCCATCAATTCTGTCTCATAGTGACCTCAGAGAACAAAGAAGAGCAGCTGGTCAGTAGTCCACTGTGCTCCTTTTAGGGGGGAAGGGAGGCTCCCCACTGACAGGCACTTAGTACCCTATTCCCCCCATGACTACTGAACCCACATACACTGCTGCTCGCTTATTTAGTTCCTCTCAGCAGCAGTCATGAAGATGCCCAGAACACCAAGGAAGGGAGAAGCAGTAACCATGGAGACACTGGGGCAGCCCGATCTTTTAAAATGGCAACAGAAATTCCATTCACGGGCAAACCCTTTCTTTTGATGGTGTTTACATGGGAGAACATCAGGTTTGCACTCATCCTGTCATATTTCGTTTCAATGCACTGATTACAATCCCCTCCATGCATCACCATTCAACAGTATTTACTTCTGTTCCCTCTTGGTTTTCTTCTTTTGGACGTACACAAAACCACTTAGGAATATTTAATCATTTAAAAGACCCAAGGGCACATTCTGCAAGCCTGCCTACTGGCTGAAACCCTATTCTTTCAAAGGACTGGATACCTGCTGAAAGCTGGAAGAATAATATCGGGGTTTCTTTTTCCTGTGAGGAGGTAGGATGTCAAGATTAGTGTAAAGGAGAGAGAATACATCCACCCACCTCTCTGAGCCCAACAGTGAGAAGGGGAGTGCTGCTGTCTAGCTACTTTAGATTGTACCAGACAGGTTACGACCTCTAGCTGTTCTCCAAATGACTGTGTGGTATTCTGCAATCGAATTTCTGGACACTGAATGGGTCAGCTCATCCTAGGGTGTCATGCACATTCCCCAAATTAGAAGAACTCCCCGTTGCCGGAGCCAGTGTGGCACTTACCTGCTCGTGCATAATTTCAGAAAGCTCTTTTGCCATTTCCCTGTAGTTGGCCTTCATTTCTTCCTGATACTCTAGTTGGTCCTCTTTAATCAGACGTTCATTTACTGCTAAGGCTTGACCACATGCTTCCACGAATTGTCTGAAATGGTACCGAAAAGGGAAGTGAGGCATACTGAGAACAAAGGATGCGTCCAAGTGGTAGTAGTATCTGTTTGCTGGATAATCACCACTTGAAAAAAGACAAGATATTTTTAGCATGCTTTACCTGAAAACTTCTTTCAGCAACTTCACTTTATTGTCAGGGTATCGTTTTGTGTTTGTGTCATCTAAGAAAGCTCGGGCGTATGCCAGCGGACCAGCATTGACCTAGAGAAACAACCGAGACTTAATGCTGCTTATGTGAATTAGTTATGACCCCTGCCCTTGAAGAAACAGTAAATAAACATTATATTAGTTTGTTGTTGTTATTAAGTACCTTCGAGTCAGTTCAGACTCACAGCAATCCTGTGTAGAGTTTTCAAAGAGCAGCTGGGGAACTTGAACCTTGCAGTCCAGCGCTAACCCCATACCAAGACATGCCATTTAATTTTTATCGTATCACCCTATCATGTAGAAAGGGTACTTATAATGGTTCGTTTCATATAACAGGGAACAAGTGCTTGGCAAACACCTGGTATCAAATCCCAAGTCTTCCAACTTCAGGTTCAGGATTCTTGCTACGGAATCTGTACTATACTATTAGTACAAAATTTAAAAATAGTATATATGCCAATTTTTACTATGAGACTAAACAGTCAACAATTACTTTGAGAATGTTTATGCATAGGGATTACTGAACGAGAACCTAAACTCTGCGTAAACTTCACTGAAAACAAAATAAAATGTTATTCAAAACAAAAGAGCAATTGAGGGAGAAATACTTAGGTTTACAAAACTAGTCGGAGACTAATTCACCACTTCTGATACTGGACAGAACAACTAGAAAGAAGATCAATGAAGAAATTCACTTTTTGAACCAAATTGTTAACCTAACATCTGTAGATCATTCTGCCTAATAGACCATATCTCAGGGCACCAAGCAAACCTGAAGAAATTGAGATCATACAAAGTATCTTTTCTGATCCAAATGGGATAAAATGATTAATATATCTTTTTTAAAACCTGGAAAAGACACAAATATGTGGAAACTAACAAACTAACACTAAGCACTCAAGTTCAAATTAAAAATCAAGAAAAAAATATTTAGAGTTGAATGAAATAAAAATACAACATACCAAAACATGGGCTGCAGCAAAGGCTATGCTTAGAGGAAAATTGATAGTAATAAATGCCTTCATTAAAAATGAAGATACCAAATCGACAGCCTATCTGTACAACTTGAACTAGAAAAGGAAGAGCAGTTCAGCCCAACGCTACCAAAAGAAGAGAAACAATAAAGTCCACAGAAGAATAAATATAGCAAATAGAAAAAAAATGGTATATATATTTTTCATAAAACCAGTAGTTTTATGAAAAGATCAATAAAACTGCCACACCTTTTGGCTAGACTCACAAAGTAAACGAAGATGTAACTATCTAAAATTAGAAAGGAAAGGGCTAATTACAACTGGCCTTCAGAAATGAAAAGGATTGTGAGGGAATCCTGTGAATAGCTGTACACCAACAAATTACTTAATTTAGAGAAAAACTGGATGCATTCTTTGAAACACAGAGTTCTGATATCGATACAAGATGAAATAGATCTCAACAAGGCCATAACAAGTTGGTAAAAATAAGAGATTAAGTTGGTAACCAGAAACACACCAGTCTAGAAAGTTCCTGGACCTGTCAACTTCACTGGGAAATTCTACTAAACATTTATAGAAGTGACTGCAATCCTATTTACCTTGTCAACCAACAGGTGGAAACAGGTCCTAACTCCTTCTATAAGGCTAGCATTTCCCTTGACACCAAAGCCAGTCTCCACAGGGAAACAACAAATATCAGTTATGGTCATCTAGTTGCAAAAATACCCATAGCATACTGAATCAAAAAACATAGTAAAGGGATTATAAACTATGCTCAACTGTGATTAAGCCTAGGAATGCTGCAAAGGTAGTTCAAAATCAGAAAATTAGTTCAGGTAGTATGCCGTGTAAAAGGAAAGGACCACCTATTACCTTAATTGATGTAAAAAAGGTATTTGATAAAATTCAATCCCCTTTTTATGATTTAAAAAACGAAAACAAGGGAGATACCTCACTTTCTCTCACTATTGCTGTTCACCATTCTGGAATGCAAGGAAGGAGCAGCACTCTCCCTCATCACAGATGACCTGATTTTACACAGAAAAAACCCCAACGGCTATCATAATAAAGGAGTTGCGGGGTACAAAGCTAACACACACAAATCAGTTGGCTTTCTACATATTGACAATGGGCAAGCTGAAAATGAAATGAAGGAAACATTACGTTTTCAACAGCATCTAAAATAAAAAGGGACTCATATGTCAGAACATATGGGAGGTGAAGAGAGAAAGGCCAGACACACTGGGATGGGGAGGAAAATGTTCCAGACGTTTGAGAAAGGACCGTGTGACTATTGCCTGCTTTTTCCTGGAAGGTACAGTGGGCTTGGGAAGTCAGAAGTCAGGGCAGTGTGTCTGTCTTTCCTGCTAGCGAAGCAGCACAGTCTGTGAGCTTGTTCCCTGCAGTGAAGGACCCACACAGCAGGGCAGGAGACACGACACCAGAGGTGGGAAGGCATAGGGTCCCCAGTGCAGCGTTCAGGTAGAAGCTCTGGAGCACGAACAACCAGGCATCAGACTTGGTGTGAGGAGGAAACCACGTTAATAAGAAAATGCAAAGACGAAACAAATCTACAAAAACATCCTAAGAGTGACTAGGACACGACTGTGGAGGGCCCAGAAGGCACCCTGTCCTGTAAAACACAAATACGAGGGGACTTAAAGAAGTTCGTGGAAAAATTCCATTATTATGTTTTGATTCACTTTTTCCACAAGCTCTTTGAAGCCCCCTGGTATACAAAGAAAATAATAAAATTAATTTTCTGCAGCTGCAATTTTATACTGGTGTGCCCACCCAGGAAACAACATTTCATTGTGTAGTTCTGGCTTTTTAAGATGACTGGGCATTTAATCAGACTCTAAGGTCACCGTCAAACCTACAGAGCACATTTTGCCCTTTAGAAGACTCAACAGACTGACCCAGCCCCACCCTTGAGCTGGAGTTGCCTGGGTCACCGTGGTTTTGTTTTTAGCTGGCCTCTGACCCCGTTACGTAATCATTCACATTGTGGGACTTATTCTGGTACACGAGTCTTTGGCGCTTTGAGGACAGAGACTGGAAACATCTGCAAATACTTTGGTGGTGAGTGACATTTAGAAACAGGTTAAACAGTAAACTACCATGGGCCATGAAGTGTGGATCTTATGAAAAGTTGTTCAGAACCCGAAACAAAACAAATTATGTCTTACACTTTACATATAACTCTCATGAACACACCCTTTAGATTTCAGAAAGAGAAAAGAATGGGATATAGGAAACTACATATATGAGAGGGCTTTAGAAAGTTTCTGGGAAAATAAAATGAGAAGATAATAGAATTTCCCCACAAACCTTTTAAAGCCCCGTTGTACGTGTGTATATAAGTATGTATAAATGGTGCTAGAATTATTTATATACACTTAAAAGTATCAAAGCAAAAGGTATACTAGTCATTGCTGTTAAGTGCCATCGAGTTGGTTTTGACCCATAACGACCCTGTATAGGGTTTGTGAGGAGTGGCTGGTGAGCTTGAACTGCTGACTTTGTGGCTCAAACCAACTTTTAAACCCAGCACATTCACCCACAGTGCCATTAAAAGGGGGTGATTTAACATTTACCTCTAACTTCTGAAACCATGATACCTTAAAAGACAATTGTTATTCCAACAGCAAATGCACAAACAGAAAAGTGAATGTATCATATAAACACATAGCTTGATGAGTTTTCACCAACTGAACACATTTGGTTCTGTAAACGTAGGTCAAAGATGATCTTGTCAATAAATGGTGAGCATTAGAGAAAAATGTATCTTGAACGCTTTTGGGCACCCAGGACAGAAATCCACTCCAGATGGAGTGCAGATCTACATGCTAATCCTAACAAAGGAGGAAAACCTTCAAGAGCTTAGAGTAGGTGAAGATTTCTTGAAAGGACACACATACAAAATGCTACCTATTGAAGCAAAAAGTGATTAATTGAGTTAGTCAAAAACATATTTCTGTTCTTCAAAAGATACCACTAAGAGAGTGAAGCTTTAGGTCTAGGTTCTGTCTATAAGGCAGTCTTATTTATAGTGGGTAGGGAGCTCTGGTAGTGTAGTGGTTACGAATTGAGCTGCGAACCGCAAGGGTCAGCAGTTTGAAACTACGAGCTGCTCCGCAGGAGAAAGAAGAGGCTTTCTGCTCCTGTAAAAATTTACAGCCTCAGAAACCCTGTCCAGGGTCGCTATGAGTCGGAACCGACTCCAAGGCACACAGCCACCAGCCACCACACACTTTATATTTACAAGTATCTTGATGTTTCCAATTTGGGACCTACTTACATACTTGCCATGAAGTCCTTTTTGACTCACAGCGACCCTACAGGACGGATTAGAGACTAAATCTTTATGGGAATTGCAGCCTCATCTTTTTCCTGCAATTAGAGACCCAGCCTTCCTTCCATTATCAAAAAGTCCTGTTCATCTGGAGAGCTGTCTCTTGAGGCTAGCAGAGTTTAGTGAGAGTAGACAGATCTCACCGGTGGAGGCCCCATGGCTACCCTACCTCTGACTTGACCGTAAAAACACAGGGGTGGTGGAGAGTGAACTGGGGCTCGCCTGGTAAAACCCCAGAAGCTAGAGAAACTAGACTTCATAGTTCTGAGTCTTGACGTTTCCCAGACTCACCTGGACGCTCACACTGCCCTGGAGCTTGAGCTGCAGTTTGATCATGTCCACCTCAGCCGAGGCGCACAGCTGCCGTAGCTCGGCCACCTTCTTGCTCATCTCGTCAATGGCCACCTCGATGGGGTTCAGGTCCGTGTGGTGCTGGTACATGACAGGTATCCGCTTCTTCACATACGGGAAGCAGTGTATTGCTGTGGTGGCGTGAGAGCTAGAGTTATTTGCCAGCTTTACTTCATAATCAAATTGGTAGCGTATTACTAATCATAGCTAACGATTATTGCCGAGGGCTTACTATGCGGCCAGACACTAGGCTGAGCATCCTATATGTATTCATCAGTCCTCTCAATAAAACTAAGCTTACTACTCCCTTCTTATTGATAAAGAACCCGAGGCCTGCCAAAGAGACACTAAAATTGCTGCATTCATTGTCTTCATACAACTTTGCTTAGGGACAGTTTTTGAAGAGGACATTTGTCACCATTCCCAGTTTAATCGTCTGATCCTAACGCACCCCGACTCGACAGCACTTAACAACAAATGAACCCCACCCTTGTTGCGATGAGAACTGAGTGAGCTAGTAAGTATAAAGTGGCTTTGAAGACAGAAAAAACATGAGCTGTTTTGAGAGATCACCAAACAGATTAAGTTCAGAAAATTCATTTTCTCACCCAGGGCAACTCAGATGGTATATACACAAAGTCTGCACAGATCTGAGACGATCAATAACCCATGAAAAAGTGTTCTGAAGAGAAGTATTTCATGAACCAGAAATTTGCAAACTGAGGTACACTAAGAAAGGTATTTAAAAATAATTACACAATGAATAAAAAAAAGAAAGAAAAGAAAATATTGATTTGTTTTTTACAAAAACCCAATAGATACTGTTTTCACATAGTACATGAGCTATCAATACCAACATCAAAGGGTTAGTTTAAAAATGAAAACAATAAACAGGTTCTCATTTGATTTTGACATTTTTATCTTACTGCTGTATGCAACATCTAAGTATCTATGATATTCTCATTTAATACATATTTACTAATTATTAAGTACCACCAAGTTGATTCTGACTAAAGTGACCCTGCTTAAGGTTTCAGCTGGTGGGTTTGAATTGCTGACCTGTGGTTAACAGTCCACTGCTTAACTGATTTACTGTTAAGTGCCATTGAGTCGGTTCTGACTCATTGTGACCCTGTGCAGGGTTTCCAAGGTTTTAGATCTTCATGGGAGCAGAAAACCTCATCTTTCTCCCATGGAGTGGTTAGTGGGCTTGAACCACAGACCTTGTGGTTAAGACGATACGTCCAGTGCACTCCCTATTAGATGTGTGAATAGATATGAGGAAGCTTAATGGAATTTTCCACGAACTTTTTCAAGCCCCCTTTTACGCTTAATACAATTTTATTTTGCTATTGTGGTTGACTATACACAGTGAACAGTTTCTACACGGATCCTTCAGTGGTACCAACTACATTCTTCCAGATGTGGCACTGTCTTTACCTTCCTTTTCGGTGTTACTCCGTCCTGGTTAACATACATGTACTGCTCCCAAACGTTGAACCTTAATTTTTAACAAGCAGAAGTAAGTTGGGAGTGCTTATGTTCGACTCAATACTATTTAGTAAGTGGCTGGGGGGACTTTACTCAGGAAGGACTTATCACAAAATGAGAAACCAGAGTCAGCTTCCTGTAAAACACAAGGTTCAGTGGTGCCAACCAAAGGTCTAATCAAAGCTAGAAACAATGTTCAGCCGAGGCACGCTCATTTGTCACCTCCCGTTCTAGTCTCTAAGTGTTTCACCAATTAAAGTTCAAGGGTTCACCTTGCACATTTCTCTCTGGTCCTCACAGACACCTTGTTTAAGTGGCAGGACTGAGATCAATAAATCCCTTCTGCGCTGAATGTGGCTTTGACATTGTGGTAAGAACTGGATGTTGCTACTTTCCACGCAGAAAAACGATCATTTGACTCTAGCTGTAACTGCATTTGGATAGACTGATGAAGGACTTTGGAAATGCCTACAGTTGTGTCAAAATGCATGCCGTCAGCAGCATTACAGAACACCCTACTGCCGTTGTGTGGTATCACCCTTATCTCTGAGAGGAAACCAAACTCCAAGGGTAAGGCTCTAAGTGACCTGTCCAAGGACTATCCGGATTCCACTCTGTCCAGTTTCTGCTCTGGTGAATAATCACAGGGACAGAAACTATCTGCCATTAAGGCCAAGGAGAGGTCCAATACTAAGAACACTCAGAGAAAACGCAGAGTTCCTTCAGGAGCCTACCAGGTCCCATGTGACTGGGGAGCCACCACTAGCCCTCTCCTTCCACCTTCCTGGCTGGCCTCTCTCTTTTCCCTCACTTTGTTCCAGCCACGCTGGGCCCTGAAAGCATTGGGCATGCATGTCCGTGCCTTTTGTCTCTGTACTGTTTTTCTCCTGCCAGATACATAGGCACGCCTCCTGGTGTGGCGCTGTAGGATAAGCACTGGACTGCTAACCACAAGGTTGGTAGTTTGAACCCACCAGCTGCTCCTCAGAAACCTTCCTCTACAGGGTCACTATGAGCTAGAACAACATGGCTCCTCAGTGAGACCCACCCTGCCACTCATTTATAGGGCCCCTTTCCACTCCAGCCTCATCAACTTGTTTTATCTGTTAATACTTCAGAGCGGGCATCAGAAAGTCCATGGGAAAACAGAATTGCAAGATAATGGAAGTTTCCCCACCAACTTTCTGAAGTACTCTTGTATCTGTTTCCAACGAACGTAAGGTACATTTATTTACGCACTGTTACACTTGCCTGTCCCCTCTTTCTCTGGCATAAGGTGCAGAGGGCACGAGGCCTTTGTTTACCTAATAAACGGCACTGGAATCCTGTGCTCAGAGCATCTTGTTGAATTACTGGATATAGACTGCCTTAATGATGGAGTAAAGAACAAAGGGATCCAGGAAAGTGGAAAATTGATACTGAGTAAGCTGCTGTGTTAGTAATAAACGCTCTCTCGTAATGACTTGTTGTCCTTTAGGAGGAGAATGAAGAAGACTAGATGCCTGTTAAGTGGGGGAGAATGGTGATCTGGTGAGCTTGACTATAAAGTGTGATTGTTAAGCACCGTAGAGAAGGTTTCGACTCATAGCAACACTGTGTAGGGTTTCCAAGGAGTGACTGGTGAGTTTGAACTGCCGACCTTACAGTTCACACTGGTCTTTTGTGCTCCAGTGTTTATCCTACAGAGCCACACTGGGACTCCATACGGTCTAGTGCAGGGGAGTATTTCCAACCTGAGTCCATAGAAAGATGGGAGCCTCACCATGCCTCAGGTGGTCACAGAATAGTGCCTAGGAAGAAGCTTGATGACAAAAGTCCATAAAAGAAGAAACAGAATCACATCAGGGGCAAGCTGATAGAGTTCTACCCTAAGGAACGTGGAGGTGGTGGTGTGGTAGCCAGGAAGAGTAACCCTTGACCGGGTTCAGGGTGGGGCGGGCCAGGACTTTGCTATAACCTGGAATGCCAAAGGGCAGATCTGAAGCAATGCAATGGAAGACCCACCAAGGGGATTCATAACCTAAGGGGAAACACTTCAAGTTCAAAGTCTTTCTGACAGTGACCTAGTCTGTGTATCTTTAACTAAAGGTCAGAGTTTGCATACTTTATTTTTAGTAGCACTTCTATAACCCCTTCTCTAATTTTTTTCTCTGATGTACAGAAACTAGTCACTTTTAAGTAATTTAAGATCTTTCAGGGCAAAGGCTACATCCTGTCTGGGTTTTGTTGCGCCATAACCCCCTACTATTCATCATCAACCTCCACAGGCAAGGAGCTTAGTGATAGATGTTGTTTGTTATAGCCACTGTCCAGTCAACCCTCAACTCAAGTGGACTGGATCATTGGGATCTATCAGGTGTTCATTAATTTCTCAGAAACAGATGGCCAGGCCTTTCTTCCTATTCTTAAAGAGAGACAATCTGGAAACTCCACTGCTGAGATTCAGCATCATGGCCAGCCTCCTCTGACAGATGAGTGACGGCTGCCCTTGTCTGGTAATCAAGTCAGGACCTCCCTCATTGAAGGAGAGCACTCTACAACTGACTACACCCAGCTCCTAGCAGAACAAGTGCCTCTTTGCTCTTCCTAGTTAGGGTTACATAGTGGTATTATTGGACAAGCAGATGATGCCACAGTTCCCACTCTGCAGATGAGGAAACCAAGGCATAGTGGGGATCAGACTCTGGGTCTGTGGGTCTCCCTGACGCAGACTTCTCTGTTCCCCACTGTGCCTTCTAAGCTATCAGCACACGTGCCTACTTGGCCTCTGGTCCTTTCAGCCCTTCTGTTCTGGCACACACAGCTTGATCCATGTCCTTTACAATGTTGTTGTTGTTGTTGTTGTTGTTACACTGTAGCTCTCATGAACAGGTGGCCAGGGAAACCGCCCTCTGGTAACTATCAGTGAATCAGTATGTGACCTTAATGGAACCACTGACTCAACAATGAACTAGATGTATTCGAAGCGATTTGCAACTTGAGCATGTGTCAGAATCACTTTGTTCAAACTCAAACAGCCCCAGTGGTGAGGATTCGGTCAGCCTGGGGTAGGGCCTGAGAATTTTCATTTCTCACAAGTTCAAGGGTGATGTTGGTGCTGGGACAACCCAGGGGTAATGAATGACTTCAGTGATCAAAAGCGAGCAATCCCAGCTGGAGAGATAAGCACTGAACTGGTATCTCCACAACATGACTCAGCCCCCGCCTTAAGAATCTGCTATGAGGGGTACATTCTAGAAGCTGTTTATACCCGGGAAGGGGCTCACCTTTCTGAGGATGGGAGGTGTGCTATACAAATGTGGTTAGTCTAAGAGCAGGAGTAGGGACTTGTTAGGTGCCATCGAGTCAATATCCAGACATGTAGAATTACAATTTAAAAAATTTTTGTCTTAGAACCCTTATGTTGTTGTTATGTGCTGTGGAGTCGGTTCCGACCCATAGTGACCCTGTACAGCGTTTCTAAGGCTATAAATCTTTACGGGAGCGGAAAGCCTCATCTTTCTCATGAGGAACAGCTGGTAGTTTTGAACTGCTGTGCCTGAGGTTCGCAGCCTGATTCGTAACCACTACGCTACCAGAGCTTCTTCAGAACCCTTAAAGGAAGGGTCAAAGTCTCCATGGAATATGCTGCTGTGGGCTATGCTATAATGATATACACACACAGGAGGGTCTTCAAAAAGTCTGTGGAAAAATTCCACTTTCTATTCACTCTATTTTTCCATGAATTTTTTGAAGCCACCTTGTGCATGCACACAAATACACCTACAATGTATGTTACTGTAAAGTGTCTTCAAGTCAGTTCTGCCTAGTGACCCTGCACAGGGTTTCCAAGGTTGTGTATCTTTGCTGGAGCAGAAAGCCTTTTCATCTTTTTTCACTTGGTGGGCACAAACCACCGACCTTGTGGTTAACAGTCCAGTGCTTATCCTAGACAGACACCTCACATTATTATTTATTTCTGCTAACAGCTTTACTGAGAGGTAATCTAACATGAACGTAGCCCTGGTACACAGTGGATGACGAGCTGGGTTGCTAACCCAGTTTGAATCTAACAGTTAGTCCTCGGGAGGTTTACAGCAGGGGCGGGGAATGTCCGGCCCATCGGCTGTACGAGGCCCATGAAATCATTTGGTTTGGCCCTGTCAAGGTAACTGTATCACAATGTTGTTGTTAAGTGCTGTCGAGTCAGTTCTGACCCATAGCGACCCTGTACAGGGTTCCCAAGTAGTAGCTAGTAAGCTTGAACTGCCGACCTTCTGGTTCAAACCGATCTTGCAGTCCAGTGCATTATCCCACAGTGCCACAGCAGGACTTCAGCCATCATCAGGGATGAGTTCATTAAATGTTTAATCAAATATAGCAGGCTAATTTTTAAGTTGGTAATTTTGTATGGCTCATGAATGATGTTACAAATTTGGCAGAAAAAAGGTTCCCCACCCCTGCTATAAGGTGTTCTGGTAACGTAGTGGTTATGATTCGGGTTGTTAACCTCAAGGTCAGCAGTTCAAAACTACCAGTAGTGCGGCAGGAGAAAAATGAAGCTTTCTGCTCCTGTAAAGACTTACAGCCTCAGAATCCCTGTGCAGAGTCACTATGAGTCAGAACCGACTTCACGGCACATCACCATCGTGACCACCCCAGCTATCGACTCCTGGACTTCGAGCCACAGATCAGCAGTTCAAACCCACCAGCTGCTCCTTGGAAACCCTGTATGGGTCGCTATGAGTCAGAACCAACTCCTCGGCATACAACCACCACCAATTAAATTATGAATTTAACGGTGAGAGGCCGGCCTCATGTGGACTTCTTCCCCCTCGGTGGTGGGAAACCAGGAGCCTCTGACACACCCCATACTTAAACTGGCTTCCGTCTCTATTCTTCTCAGGTCTACAGCATGTTGTATTTTAGCCTACCCCAGTTTACACCACTGACCCTGACCTAGGAGTGGATGGGGCGGGCTCCCCTCAAGAACGTAAAGATCACTCCCACAGGATTCTACACTTGTTGGGAACTGGAAAGTGATGGCAAACCCTATTTCTGCCAATGGATTATTCATTGTCACACAGGGACACATGACCAACTGAAACCTTCAACCCTTTTTATATATTTCAGTAGATTGCTGGTGGTGGCTGTCTGCCTTGGAGTCAGTTCCAACTCATAGCGACCCTGTACAGGATTTCCAAGGAAACCATTTATTTTCAAAACAGTGTTTGAAAAGTAGAATGTGGCAGGCTTCTGGCAGTGGAAGAGCCACTATATAATAGGGGACCATACAGAGTCCTGGGGTGGCGCTGTGGGTTAATGCTCCAGGCTGCAAAGCCGTTTGAACTGCAAGGTTGGCAGTTCAAGCTCCCCAGCTGCTCCTTGGAAACCCTATACAGGGTCGCTATGGGTCGGAACTGACTCAATGGCACTTCACAACAACAACATACAGACTTCAGAAGTAGTCAACCAACTGAAATCTGTATAAAACTGTAAAAGCTTTCTGGGGAGATGTGGACCTATTGTTTTCCTAAGACTCTAAAAAGGGGTCAGTGACTTTATATGTAAGATAGGAACGTATAGTCTTAATGGAAGGAAACAATGTCAACATTATCAGCGCAGGAAGTCTGTCTGAATTTAAGAACAACGGCTGAGTAAGGGATCACCGTGGGACACAAGCGGGTAGGTGGGGAAGCCAAGTGCACTCTAAGGCCCTCCCAAACCTAAAGGCCTATTCATTTGTTAGAAAACCCACTCAGAGTGTCCGGTAGGTGAGGGCAAACCTGTGAGCACTGTGCGCCGCTTGCATTGCTCCTCCACGCCGCCCTGTCTCTTTCCTGTCTGCGTGAAGGGCATCTCAAACATGAAGCGCCGGATGTTGTGTGACCTCTCAAAGTCCGTTTTCCTTTCTTGCAGTTCTTTTTCATCAAAGAATGGGGTCACGTGGGTCACCTGGATATACGCATACTTGGAATCCAGATCCTTAGGGTTGACCTTCAAACAAAGAAGCAAAAGTGAAGACAGGTGCTGCTTACAGAAGTCTGTGAAGCCTGTGAAGGTGGGTTTTCCACCTTCCTTTTAAGGGTTTTTGAAAAATTAAAAATCGTTGAAAACTTAATAAATATCTTCCTACTAGTAGCGTAGTGGTTATGAGATGGGCTGCCAAATTCAAGGTCGGCAGTTCGAAACTACCAGCCGCTCTGCAGGAGAAAGATGAGGCTTTCTGCTCCCGTAAAGATTTACAACCTCGGAAACCCTGTACAGGGTCGCTGTGAGTTGGAACCAACTCTGCGGTACTTACCAACAACAACAATATTCAACAGTTGTTAATGTTTCATTATATTTGTTTCAAACACACGTGCACGTTGTGGATATACGTAAGTACTTCAGAATGGCCCATATCGTAACATTTCAGTTGGTTATGTAGAACAGTGTCTACATAACCACAATATGGTTATCATGCCTAACAAAATTAACAATAATTCTCTAATACCAATCCGTACATAGTCTTCACAGACATTTTCTCAAATGTCCCCAAATGTCACTTATAGCTTTTATGTTTGAACTAGTCTCTAATCAGTGATCACACTCTATATATTTTATTTGCCAAATCTCTTTAGTTTTGCTTAATCTACAAGTATTCCCTACTATTTTTTAAAGAGACTCAAGAGAGTGAGTTGTTTTTTTTTAAGAAAATTAATTTTCATGGTTCTAGACTTTTCTGATCATTCCTACACTGTATTTTTATATATTTCATTAGGAGAGGAAACCATTTCTGTTTTAAAACAATGTTTGAAAACTAGATCCCCCAATCATAATTCCTAAAGCTCTAGATTAAATAATCTAATTTAGGTACAGATTAAAAGACTATATAGATTTATTACCTGATTAACTCAATGCAGGAATGCTTTAGAAACTATTTCATAATAGGAAATGAATCATAGGCACTTTTCACATAGAACAAAAGCTAATGATTCAGGTGACAAATCGATTTTGCACATTTGAATTATATTTTGCTTTTGAGAGCTGTAAATGGGCTGAGGAAGAAACAGCCATGCAGAAAGCTCTGAAGACTAGACTGGGATCAGGGCAGACAGACGGATGAGAACAAGACAGCTTTACTGTTCTCAATGTAACATGCGCAAGTACGCTCTTTACTGAGATTTTTTGTGTGAAGGAGGATGAAAAATAGATATGAAGGAGCCTTAAACTTTAGAATCTAAGAAAATAAATTTACCCATGAAGTGATTTCCTTTTCTAGCCAACCATAGGAGGGAGCATGGTGGCTCTGTAGGATAAACACTGGACTGCTAACCATAAGGTTAGCAGTTAAAGCCCACCAGTTGCTCCGAGGGAGAAAGATGTGGCTTTCTACTCCTGTAAAGATTTACAGTCTCAGAAACCCTTTAACAGGGTATGTATGATTCGGAAGTAACTCAATGGCACTTAACAACTACAGCAACCAACCATTATAACTTAAATTTCCTTAGTGGAAACGATTTTAAAGCAGTAAGAGTAAATGAAGCCATTAAGTTATTACTTCTATTTTTCTCCCCCAAAAAAGTCATCTATAAAATTGTAAAATCATTATAAAACAAAACAACAATGACAAAAAACAAAACAAAATCCATGATCAATGATCAATTCCAACTTACAGTGATTCTACTGGGTAAAGTGGAACTGCTTTATAGGGTTCTGAGGCTGTAACTTTTTACCAAAGTAGATTGCCACATCTTTTTCCTGCGGAGCAGCTGGTGGGTTCAAACTGCCGACCTTTGGGTTAGCAGCCAAAGTACCTTAACCACTACACCACGAGGCTTCGTATTGAAATGCTGTTGCAACAGGGGAGAGTCCAGATCTAAGTGAATTCCACCGCTGAAACAGAGCAGCAGCGAGGTGGGCTAGAGGAGAAGGACTAGAGGTTATAGGTGCTCATCAGGAAGGTGGGGAGTTTGCAATTAGGGCCATATATGGTTTGGCATGCTTTCTGTTGTGACTAGGCCACCTGGATCCTATAAAGGGTAGAGGAGAGGGAAGGACATGAAGGAACGCCCCATAGCTGGATGTAAGAGGAAGGCCGGGGGCGGGGGCCAGCGTAGGAAGTCTGACTGAAGTTTAGTTAGAGGAAGGAGAAGGCTGTCTTGGTTAGAACCTTGGACCTTCTCTTACAACTCTTCCAGATATCTGGACTCAAAATGGTATCTATTTTCAGATATTATTTTATAAGATTGTTGTTGTTAAATGCCGTCAAGTCGATCTGACTCAGTGATCCTGTAAAGGGTTTCCAAAGAGTGGCTGATGGGTTTGAAGTGCAGACCTTGTAGTTAGTAGTCTAGTGCTTGTCCTATAGCGCTGCCAGGGCTCCTTCAGAAAGGAAGGAAGTAAAAAGATTCCTACCACTGATGAGCGCGCTTCATTTGTCCCTGGGTTTGTTTATTCCTACACATATTCATGAGCATACAATCACACACAATCCATTAAGAAAATTATACTGCTACGAAACTTATCCAAATATGGTCATACCTTGCCAGAATCCTGTATCATTTTCACATTTTCAGGACCAAACTTATCCGAGTAAAGTTTAAGGAGTCTTTGAGAAATTTCTGATAGAGGTGTGAGTTTGGGTTCTTTGTAAATATACTCCTTCCCATCTTCATCTTCAAAGAATCCCTGTGACACAAAGCACAATGAGAGCTAGCCTCGAACGCCAGCCCAGTGCATACTACCCAGGGAGGGTTCTTTTGTTATCAGAGGTAAAGCAGACAAAACAGAATGATTCTAAAATCAGATCCTATGGACACAGGCTTTGCTGACAGAATGAAAACGACAATGTCAAGTCTGGGCGCAAAGATTAAGAACAAATACAAATACGGTCAAACTTACTCAACCACGTCGTCATGAGGGGTTGAGTGAAATGAGAGATTCGGGGTTCAAGGCTGTGATTTCTCAGTCAGGTCCAATGAAGGGATTCAGCCTATTTCACATTCCCAGAAAGCACACCCAACAGCAGAAAAATGGTTCAATCACCTGCTCCAGGCAGGTGGTCTCAGAGTCACCCCGACACGCTTCTCCATTTACACAGGTTTTATAGGACAAATGGAAGCACCGGTCTGAAGAACTTTCAGCAGAAGTTATGTGAACTCCTGTTTTGCCTTATTGATAAGCAAAGTATCAAAGGCCTATTGTAAAATTACCAGAAGATATTTTTGTTTTCGTCAGTCACTATTTTAGCACCGATCTCGTGTGAATACAACAGGGCTTAGAATTGCATGGGAAGTGAAAAAGGTTGAAAAAATTGAAAGTCCAGACCGTGGTTAATATTTTGAAATAAATTTAAAAAATGTCTCATCTCAAATGAAAGAGAAAAAATGGTGCAAAAAAAAAAAAAAAAAGAGTGAATAAAAAGAAAGCAAATTAATGTGAAACAAAAAAACACCCACAGCAAACTAGGAGTATGGATGCAGTAATTTCACTACATTACTTGCATCGGAAGCATGTACTGTAATTACCTCCACATCTGTTTCACTGTCTGTAAACTGGTATTGCTATAAAGTTATAAAAAACAATAACAGAATAAAGTAAAGTTAAATAGTGCTCATAGAAAACCACATGCCCTAAACAAATGGAGTCTAATTTGTACCATTTAATGATGTTAGAGATTTGAAGGTTAACACTTAAGTTAAATTTAAAGGAATCCTTCTATATGGGGTGTCGGAAATATTATGATGACAAACAGGCTGGTGGGAGGCACAAGTACAAAGGAAGTCAGAAAGTCTGAATTTTGGTTTAAAACATGCAGTCTAGATGTCGGAGGAGATGGTGATTTATTTCTGTAAGTGGAACAAAATGTGAATTTAAATCTGTTTTGGAGTTTGTATGGGTTAGACAGATACATACAGATGAGAAGAGAAAAGCTGTGGGCCGCCCTGAAGTACCGAGACGCCGCTAAGAATGTCTTATGAAGGGAAAACTTACCGCTGCCTTCAAAAAGTCATAAAGACAGGAAGGAGGAGGAGGAGGAGACAAACAACAACAAAAAAGCAGAAAGTTTACTGAGGAAGATAAGAATCATACTGAATATGAAAAGTTCATCAAATTAGCATTTATAGAAGTTCAAAAACAAAAAAAACTTGACAAAATCTAACTTTATAGAGTTCGTTTTCATTTTTAAGGGAAAAAAAAAAGACATCTGCCAGCCTGTGGAAAGGCACAGCGGGGCTCACCTGCCCGAAGAAGGCCACTCGGAAGTAGGTACCCAGGAGCCTGCGGCCTGAGAGCATGACCTCGGTCACCTTGCTGTAGGCCCGGTGCAGTGTGTCGTACAGATGGGCCAGCCTCTGGAAATCAGAACAACACCCGTGTCTGCCCAGTGGCAAAAATACCCGATCAACTGCACAAAAACACTCACATGTGGTAAAGCAGGTAAATAGTGCTGTCAAGTCAATTCTGACTCACTGGGACCCTCTATTGGATTTCCCAGGAAAGGCTGGTGGGTTGAAATTGCCAACCTTGTGGTTAGCAATCCAGTGCTTAGCCTACAGGGTCACAGCAGGACTCTCTAGACTTAAGTGAAATACTAAGGATATATTTTTGACTATTTAACTTACAGTCATTAAAAAACAAAACTATGTAGTAAATATTGCTGCTGTTGGGTCAGTTCTGACTCACAGTGACCCGACATAGGGTTTCTGAGGAGTGGCTGGTGAGTTTGAACTGCCAACCTTGTGGTTCAACTGACCTTTCAGTCCAGTGCTTATCCTACAGCACCACACCAGGACTCCTGCGGTCAATACGTTGTTGCTAAGTGCCGTTGAGTCAGTTCCGACTCATAGTAACCCTGTTTGGGGTTTCCAAGGAGCGGCTGGGGAGTTTAAACTACCAACCTTGCAGTTCAACCGACCTTTTGGTCCAGTATGTATCCTACAGTGCCACACCAGGATTTGTGTAGTCAGTATATTATATGTAACACAATATTAGCCATTCCACCATTTTTACAGTTAACCGAATTAATATTGTGACTTAATTTATGTTTATGCTGTACAACCATTACCATCTGTTTCCAGAACTTTCCATTACCCTTCACAGTGTCTCAATGCACCTGAAGCACTCAGTCCTACTTTCTCCCTGCCTGCCCCTGGTCTTTATATGCTTGCCTATTGTAGATTTTTCATATAAGTGGGATCATACAGTATTTGTCCCTTTGTGACTGACTGACTTCACACAGCATAACGTGTTCATGGTCCATCTATGTATACTGTAGCATGCATCAGGACTGCATTCCTCTGGAGGGCAGAGGAAAACTCCACTGTATGTATGGACCTCAGTGATTGGTCACTACTGATGGACAGTGGAATTTTCACCTTCGGGCAATGGTGAACAGCATTGCAGTGTGCACTGAGTTATAAGCTACAGTGATGTTTCTGAGTTACAGTATTTCCTACTCAAAGGTGCGGGTGCGGATGGCCCGTCAACCCTGGATTTGAGTAGGTAAGATTGTCCGTGTATGGTAAACCAATTCTGCTTTGCGGTTATCATGACATATCAGAGATGGAAACGCCTTAAGGTGACGGTTGTCAGCTGGCTTTGATTTGGCATTCTAGGAAGCACTGTACAAGTTCGCCAGCCCGGGAAGGATGGAAGGGTTACCATTTTCTCAGGCAGGATTCTCTGTGAGTACAAAGCTCTGTTCAAGATGGCATCCCTTGTTGTTGGTAGTGTGTACAGGTAGGATGGGGTGGAGATTGGGGGTCACCTCTAGTGGAATGTGGAGGGACAGAGACCATCTGTTCATCATTGGACCATGGTCTGCTGCTTCTCTACATAGTAGATCTAGAAATATGTGTCATTCCATTGTCCCCTCAAATAAAGGGGGAAAACCAAATCACTTGGGTACCTCGAAATCCCTCTGCTTCTCGTAAAGGGGGATGATGAGTTTGTAGATGTCGGCGATCAGCTCGAAGCGCTCGGCCTTCCAGAGCCCGTCTGCACACTGTTCTAGGAGCTCCATCAGCACATCCTGTCAGAGAGGTCAGACAAGAAGGTGAGGCGGGTGGGAGGAAGACGGTATGCAGAGCATTTCAACATGGAGCGAATTTACAACATTCACATCTACCACACTTCACCATTCACCATGGGGTTCTCTCCTCAAGAGCCAGTTTTCAATGTTAACAAGTAAAAATGGCAAAGGGCCACATTATAGTGAATGGTAAGCTCCGCAGCTTCACATAAGCACTCCGTTAATACAAGTAATTTAGAAACACAGAGCTTCCTTTCTGAGGAACAATGACAATCCTGAGGCACAGTTACTCAGCAGAGGACTTCAACTCTAAGTAAACAACTTGGCATGACTTATGATGGAGAGAAGGCACTGCCCAACATTTCCTTTCTGAGGAAATGCCCCACTGAAGTTGGGGTACCCATTCCATGTGGCAGCATAAAGCCCTTGAGCACTGAAGGAAACTAATGCTACTCCTAAGCGCTGCTGCTGGTGTAGTGGGTTCTGTGTGGGGCTGTGAACCACCAGCTGCTCCATGGGAAAAAGATGAGACTTTCTGCTCCCTTTAACATTATGGTCTTGGAAACCTTATGTTGTTATGAAGTGCCATCGAGGTGACCCTGTATACGATTTCCGAGGAGTGGCTGGTAAGCTTTAACCGTTGTCCTTGTGGTCTAAACCAACCTTGCAATCCAGTGCATTAACCTGCAGCACCACACTAGGACTCCCCCAGAAACTCTAAACAGGGTCATTACAAGTCCAAACTCAACAACACAAGGGCACACAACAGCAACAAAACTACCTGTGGATCTGATTTCACTTAATCAGCAGAACCCTATTTTCTGATCACAGTCATTGCATCATATGGGGGGGGCATATATCTACACTGGCCAATCAGAATGAATTTTAGGACCTATCTTGGAATGATGGGATGTAGCTTTAACTGGGGAAAGGTATCAGAGTGGGGACCCTTCCCCCCAAAAGAACAACTGTACTTTTTTTTTCATAACTTCTTGAACGTTTGGAGTCGGCACCATTGAATGTCATTCTTTTTATGGCATTTCCTAATGAGATTCAAAATTCTACCTTTATTGTTTAAGCCTCTGAGTGGGATTTCTAATGCTATTGAATACACTTTCACATTTTTATTCATCATCCGTATATGCTTAGTGAAGTATCCGTTTGTATTTTTTGTTCATGTTTCTATTGGGTCTTGAGAATTCCTTATATATATTAGGTAAAAGTCCTTTATCATATGTGTGCTTTGCAAACATTTTCTCAATCTGTAGATGATTTCTGGATTTTCTTCACAGTATCTTTTGAAGAACAGATACTTTTAATTTTGTTGAGATCCAACTGACCATTTTTCATTTTGTGGATAGGGCTTTAAATATGAGGGGACTTCAAATAATTCAGGGAAAAAATGGGATTAAAAGACAATGAAATTATTTTCCCCTAATATTACATCTATGCGCCAGACTGCAAAGCCATTTGAACTGCAAGGTTGGTGGTTCAAGCTCACCAGCTGCACCTCAGAAACCCGATACAGGGTCACTATGGGTCGGAACCGACTCGATGGCAATTAACAACAACAATATTGTATCTACTTGAAGTCACTTACCAACAACAACATTATATTTAGGAGTCCTAACATGGCACTGTAGGATAAGCACTGAACCACAAGGTTGGTTTGAATCACAAGGTCGGTGGTTCAAATTCACCATCCGCTCCTCAGAAACCCTATACAGGGTTGCCATGAGTCAGAACCAACTCAATGGCACTTAACAACAACATCATATTTAAGAAATCTTTTCCAACCCAACATCACAAAGATTTTCTCCTGTGTTTTCTTTGAGAAGAAGTTTAATGACTTTACATTTAGGCCTATAATCCATTTTGAGTTATTTTGGGATATGGTGTAAATTATGGGTCAAGATGGTCTTTCTTTTTCAAATGGATATCTAGTCTTTCCAGCACCATTTGATGAAAGACTCTTTTCTCCAATGGCAGTCTTTGAACCTTTGTTAAAAAATCAATTGACAAGAGATGTGTGGGTTTATTTCTGTTCTCTCCATTTTCTTACATTGATCTATGTGTCTATCCTAAAACCTATACCACAGTTTTATATGAGAGTTTCTCATCAGTGACCTCTGACATTTTGGACAGGCTAATTCTTTGTTGTGTGGGGCCATCCTGTGCACTCTAAAATGTTTACCAGTATGTCTGACTTCTACACATTGAATGCCAAGAGTAACCCCTTCCTCCTCCAGGTGGTGACAAACAAACATATCTCCAAACATTGCCAAGTGTTTCTCCCTGGTGGGAGAGAAACTGTGTCTGGTTGAGGACCACTGTTTTAGCGTCACACTGAAGACAGGTCGAGTGAGTCTTTTAACTTCTGAAAAGTTGATTCGGCTGTTGTTTCTGATGTGTGTGTGTGTGTTTCCATGTGAAACTGTAGAATCAAATTTGTCAATTTCTACAAAAATTCTAGGTGAACATTTCATTTTGAGTGCTCTGAATCTATATATCAATTTGCGGAGACCTGTTAACAATCTTAAGTCTTCTAATTTAAGGTTCCTTTGATTTCTTTCATCATTGTTTTTTTTTAACACACAGATACATACAGATTTTTACCTAAATATTTCATGTTTTTTTTATATTATTGTAAATAGTAGTTTTTTTTTTTTAACTTTCTACTGTTATTTTCAAGGAAAGACTTTAGTGGACATGACTTAAAAACAGCCGTATCTGTGAATATATGTGAACCCATGGTATATAAGAATTGCTTAAATGTGAAGGCTAATTGGTTTCTGAATATTGATCTTGTATCTTGCGACTCTGGTGTTAATAGCTTCTTAGGTATACTTGGGATTTTCTATGTAGACAATTTTGTCTTACATGAATCGACACTTGGATTTCATTTTCTTGACTTATGATATTAGCTGGAATCCCCCAGACAGTGTTGAAAAGGAATGGGGATAGCAGATTCTCCTGTCTGGTGCCTGATTTTGGACAGAAAGCCTTCAGTATTTCACCAGTAATTATAGTGGTAGGTAGCTCTAGAGTTTTGTGGTAGGTAGATTCCCTTTTCCAGGTTGAGGAAGTTCTTTATTAATCACAATTGCAGAGGCTTTTTATAATGAATAGATGTTGAATTTTGTCAACATTTTTGTGTGTGTATGCATCTATTAAGATAATCATGGTTTTTCTAATTTATTTTGCTGATCTGGTAAATTATACAGATCAGCTTTCCAATGTTGAACTAACACTAACTGGCATTCCTGGGGTAAACGTCACTCAGTTATAGTTTTCCTTTTTTAAGGAGCTCTGGTAGTGTAGTGGTTATGAATCGGGCTGCTAATCTCATGGTCAGCAGTTCGAAACTACCAGCTGTTCCACAGGAGAAAGATGAGGCTTTCTGCTCCCGTAAAGATATAGAGCCTCGGAAACCCTGTACAGGGTCGCTATGAGTCGGAACTGACTCCACAGCACTTAACAACAACAACATACTGCTGGACTCTGGTAGCGTAGTAGTTATGAGTTGGGCTGCTAACCTCAAAGTCAGCAACTTAAAATTACCAGCCGTTCCATGGGGGAAAAATGAGGCTTTCTGCTCCCATAAAGATTTTGCAGCTTTGGAAACTCTATACAGGGTCACTATGAGTCAGAACCGACCCGACAGCACTTAACAACAGCAAAACATGTTAAAAAGCAACTATGAAATTCTTAACAAAATACTAGCAACTCAAATCTGGTGGTTTGTGGTGATGTGCCATGGAGTTGGTTGTTGTTAAGTGTCTTCAAATCGGTTCTGAATCATAATGACCCTGTATAGGGTTTCTGAGAAGCAGCTGGTGGGTTTGAACTGCCGACCTTGTGGTTCACAGTGCAGTGTATCCTCCATGTTGTAAATGAAGAAACAGGCCCTCTGATTTATTCATTACTGACCTAATGCCTATGGTTATAGAGCCAAATAAAATAAACATTTTTAAAGCAGTAACAAGCCAATTTACTACAGACTACAGACTGTCCTGTGGGCTTTTAAACCCCACCTGTAAAGCAGACCATTGAACTCCTGAGCCACACTTAGTGCAAATCATAAAACTGTCATTTGTGTAACTGAACTCTGTACCGATGCTTATAACAAGATACACCAATTGTCATACTTTTATTGGAGGTGCCATTAAGTGAAAACACTAAAGACAGATAAGTAGCAACCACCAGGGCAGCCAGAGATGAAAAGGAAGTGAGCAAAGGCACTATTTAATCCTACCTCTCGGTGGTGCGCACCTGTATGTTATGAAGACAAGACGCACACCGCTCTGCATTTCTACTTTATTTACTTTGAATCCTCAGAAATCACTGCACCTGAAACCAGAACGCATCCAGACAACTGTCCACTTGTGATGACCTTGAGAAGCCTACAGAAGGCCTGATGGTAAACATGAAGCTATTTTTGCTAAATGTCATATCTGGTTTAAAAACCAACAAAACACCCTCAACTGATGCTTTGTATCCAGTAAGTACAGGTTTTGTAATTTCAGACTAGTTTGGAAAAGATCTCTGTTGACCACGCTCATTGTTAAACGGGCCACGTTTTTTGTTTATGGGCCACACGGCAGTGCAGTGGTGAGCACTAAGCGGCTGTCTGGGAAATCCCACATGAACGCAGCGTTTGTGATCCACTGTGGATGGTAATGCCTGTGTGCGTCTGTGTTTGGACAAGGGGTTTTTCAAATTCTTGCTTATAGGAAATTGGTTCCACCTTAGAAGTGACTGATTTAATCAGTCTTTCCTATGAAGCACTGCAGGAGAATGCACCGGACCCCAAGGTCAGTTTGAACTGTAAGGTCGGCAGTTCAAACCCACTAGCTGCTCCTCGGAAACTCTATGAAGAGTTGCTATGATTCGGAACCAACTTGATGGCACTTAACAACAACTACCCATGAAGCTAGGTGTTGTGTCTACTAGCTACCATTTGGGCATAACTGTAACTCTGGGACTTCATATAGGCAGCT